AATGTCCCATAGACATCGTGTTATCGTCACAAGCGAGAGTTCATGCCCACGGCGGATACGTTCTGTATTTCATGACCTTCAACGTGTCTCGTGGAGTCCTGTCCAAACCGCTCACATTGACCCACCAACCCCTCATCCCTTGCCGACTCATCCAACTGACACGCACACAGCAAAAGGCAATTACGTTGTGCCCTTTGACGACACACCGTTGTTAAATATCCAATGCCAGCGCTAAGAGGAAATATTTTACGATGGCTCCCATGCAGGCATGGACCAACAGATTTTTTTGTTCCAATGCCAGACGGCAACATCAGGTCGTGCCAGCTTGATTTACGGCATACTGCCACGAGCGATAAGCATTCAAGTGGTGGCGCTCTTACGCTGAACCCAGGCAGCCAAAGGCGCATTTATGTAACCTTTCCCCCCCCTCCCAACACAATCCTCATGTCCATATATAAGCGAAGCTGTGACTTTTTTTGTATCTCTCCATATTATAGCGAGTAATCCACTTATTGCTTAATTTCAGGCAGAACAGTCCAGAAATGCTGTTTCGGGAAATGATGTTGTCACGCCACATCCACTTAACCTCAATGCGTCAGGACACTGCGGTGGTGTGAAAGAAAAAAAACCCATGCGTGTATAGTAACTTGGCGTTTCCAGATGATTGTAGGGACCGTACTTAAATAGTGGGTCCCATAACATTGGCTGCGTATAACTTGTCCTCTAAGGATACACCCTGTCTGGTAGCTTATGCCAGGAATCCCGACTCCCAAGGCATCGCAGCAGCGTTCCACAAAATATTGAGAAATCAACGCCTGGTACCATCCGTGATTTATGCATTACAATCGAGAGCCAAAAGTCAGTGACTTGAGTACCATAAATTGTCTCTTTCAAGTAAACAACGTGGCTCAGTATGCACGCAAAGCATACATTCTCAAACAGTCCACGTGGAAATATTGGCCGACGTGAAGACGTGCTTCGTCTTGAGCCACTGGAGTATTTTATTTGCCAGAGAACGCGTTAGCTTGTCCCGAAATGTCGGGTTCGGTAATCCTTCTTGAAGTGTGGCCTCTCGATTTCCAAGCCTGACAATGTATCGGCAAGGGAGCAGGGCTACAATGTGCTGATGTGCCCTAATACATCACATCAGCATAAAATAGGCACATTGATTCACTGCTGTAGAGATTCAAAGTCAACATGGTCATCCAACAAAACGGTGGGCGAACTAAACAGCAGTGTGTATATATTTGTATGTACACTCTATCATGCCATCTCATTCTAAACACATTTTCTTGCTTCAACACGTATCGGTCAACAAAGAATGGCTGTGTGTTGATGTATGTTACTGGAGGGAGAAGGTCGAACTATAAGGCACTATAGTACTGTGACACACACCATGAAGACGGAGTTACCCCAAGTACTTCAGAGGCAAACTGTGAGACTATGTTCCTACGCACACGTACAAATATATATATTTTCCCCCAGAAATGTACAAAATAGGTACTGTATTTCCCCCGATAGCAATCTCACTTGGACCCAAATAACCATCACATTTAATATAATCGATTAATTATAACGAGTTGTCCACGCATTTCTTAAATGTCAGCGATAAGTCCAGAATGCTGCTCCGGGAACACGTTTGGCGCCCCACATCCGTTTCGCCTGATTTGTGTCCTTAGACACCGCGGTCGTGTGCTAGAAAACACGCGCGTGAATAGTGCTTAAAACCAACCAATATTAAAACTAACATGAATATTGTTCTTCTTGGTTCTTTCGGTAAAGTCACGTAGAATAGAAATAATAAAATAATAAAAATAAAACGATAAAATAATTCTCACGACGTTTCGGCCACAACGCAAGCAGCCGTCCTCAGGTGAAGAACAGGTCTGTCGAGAAGACAGAGTCTGAAGACAAGAGTCTGAAGTTCAGACTGTCTTCTCGACAGACCTGTTCTTCACCTGAGGACGGCTGCTTGCGTTGTGGCCGAAACGTCGTGAGAATTATTTTGTTTTATTTTTATTATTTCCATTCTACGTGACTTTACCGAAAGAACCAAGAAGATGAATCCCTGCAGTCACGAAAGCTTTAAATCGAAAAGTGAATATTGTTGCTAACGATATTGCATCGCAATGACAGATACGTCTCTCACGACAATAACAGCAACAGACCACATTAGAAACTCGTATCCATCCATGACATGCAGTCAATGATTTGCTAATTTTATTTTTTGTAAAAAGCAATATTGGCTACAATCGTGCATACACTTTACACACGTTTTTTTTTTATTGTGAGCCAAGGATTATATTAGAGTTAATGCAAGTACTGTACTGTATCGTCTATATTGCATTCTGGCAGTGAGAACAAATTTATAACCACAGTGAATGACATTAATCAATTATTGTTTCTCTGAAATAAAAACTGTTAAGATTTGTTTTGGGATGCAAGACTTCAGGAAAAGTTTCAATCTAAGCTGGGTATAGCCAGGGAGAATGTTAATACTTGCCTATGGCTATTAACATAGTAACTCATCTTCATAATAAATGCATTTCAATTCAAGACCACTAATCACCACCTAACATTAAATAACAATACAATTTGGCAACACGTAATTTGCTTTGCATGCCATATAAGTGGTCATAAACTTTTTTTTTGCAAATTGACAGTCAAGGGTAAAATCTGTTTTCCACTAGTTTGCATTGACTACAAACGTGTTTCATTGCTTGAATGTAATAAATTTACTAAATTCCATAATCCCCCCTGCCATGTGAACCATTTTGTTTAAGTTGCAGATTTTGTTTGTATTTCTTTATCAAATAATCTTGAAATGTAAACACACTTAGCTGCTATAAATGCAGTGGAGAAACAAGAGATGTGGCCAAACATATGGACGGCAACAGAAACATATAAACATTACAAAATGTAAATAAGCACCTCATGAATTATGGACGTGTACGGTAATTCGAGATTACTAATTTCAAGAAACACAATCTTGTAGAAAGTGCTCAGGTTTGAAACAAATTAAATGTACCACTGTCATTGAGATTTATTAAGCAATTTTAAAAGTGTCTCTTATTAACGCAGGTTATAAAACAGACCATTTTTTTGTGAATCAGCTCTTAAAATAATAAGTGCTTTAACGTGATGACCTTTTAATGCCAGTGGAAATATACAATTTTCGTGCAAAACAGGAGATGTAGAATGGCGATGAACGTGTCACATGCTACTTCGTATTGTAATTGGTGTGATCCAGCAGTTCACCTTCACTGCAGTCGTTAAAAATAACCCATGTTAATACACAGGGTTTGATGAAACAAGAGGAGTTGTACTTCCGTGGCCGTGATTAATTTGTTTTCGATTATTTACCTTCTAAAAACATCTGGCCATGTCTCGCACCCCCACGGGGTGAAAATTTGAAAAACGTGGCGTTTTTTTTAAATCCTTTATATTAAGTTCACTTGCTTGCTTGCGCGCTTACGACTGTGCAAATCTTTCGGTCGTTTTTTAACCCACTTCCCGTGATCCAATCGAACACATTTTGCACACAGACTCGTTGTGCGTGACAATTTATTTTCGTGAAAAACATTTTCCAAAATTTTCCACTTTTTAGGAATTTTTTTTTCATATTTAATTTAAAATACCAATGTGATAAAAAATGAAACTTTTACTTAAGAAAAACAGAAATGAATAAAATAAAACCGATGCCACGCATATAAAGGATTTATAGTGAAAAACGTTGTTTTTACGGGTTAATTTTTCTTGCTGTGGTTTTCACACCTGATGATGAATGCTTGTGTTGCAATCGAAACGTCGTGATAATTTTATTGTTTCCCTTCTACGTGACTTTACCGAAAGAACCAAGAATATGAATCCCTGCAGTCACGAAAGCTTTCAATCGAAAAGCATCATCTTGCTTTACCCACAAGTGGTGCACAGGGAATATGGGGAGAAGGATACAGAGGCATTTGACACAATTTATGCAGATATCCGTCTCAAAAGCACTTTCCTCCCTTATAGCAGCTGAATTTAATGACGGGCAAGTACACTTTATAGAATAAATGATTACTCGGCAAATTACAGAACGAGGAGAACATAACAACACAATATACTCGTTGACTAAAGTACAACACAGCCTGTGATCGTGTAGGTTAGTAAAACAGAACGAAACATTATGAGAAATGGCAAGGACAATGTTAAATGTTGGCACCCCATATGCTAATGTTGTGAGCCTGTGATTAAAATATTTTAGAATGAGGAAGTTTTTAACTAAAGTACCATTCTACTCTATGGGGACCTCATTTGCCAGAAAAAATATGATAATTGGTTCTTTACCCTTCTATCTGGCAACAAAACTGACACCTTTTTGCAAGGAGTCATGTTTGCATAGACCGCAATACCTGCAGTCATAAATACAAACAAAAGACATAACTCTGATAATGTGCACTGTCCTTGAAGTTGATTGGTCCACACCCGAGACAGCTTTCCTTCGAGCCTAGTCTCATATGGGTTGGACCAGATGACGCCAAAAGGCGCATAAAATAATAATAAGTACCATTCCGCTAGCTTAACCATCCTCATTGTTTTAGTACTAGATAGGCAACGTAGTTTTCATGTTATTTCAAAGCATGTTACACCAAATCGTTGGGGAAAAAACAACACCAATCCTATCTTAAGGAACACTAACAGCTGGTAGGATATTAAAAAATATATTTAAGGATTGTTTTGTCAAATCATCGTGACATTAGCATTCCATGTTTTATTTAACGGTAGTAGTTACATTGAATTTCATACAATGATCGGCACAGATTTTAAATGTACAAAACATAAAGACGACATGTCCAACCGTGCATATACTTCTTTGGTTTTTTCGGTAAAGTCACGTATAAAAATAAAATAATAAATTAAATAATTAATTAAATTATAAAATAATAAATTAAATTATTTATTCATTATTTTATTTTTATACGTGACTTTACCGAAAAAACCAAAGAATAATTCCTGCAGTCACGAAAGCTCCAAAATTAAGATCGTGCATATACTGTTGATAAAAAAGACTTAAGGAATGAAAAACTGAAAATAAAATGAAGCACAGGAGAAAAGTGAATATTGCCAGTTAGTGATCAGCATACGTTTGTTGAAAGTGCTTCCTACCCACTATTGCAATTATGTAAGTCTTCAATGCAACCTGCTACACATTGCTCTATATCCCATGGATTCAGCAGCAGAATTCCATAAATGCGGCACACATCACTGCAGCACGCATGCATATTCTGTAGAGAGAAAAAATCTACACGATTCCAATCAAAACTAAAAATTCCAGATACGTTCCACCTTGTGTTGTACAACTAAAGTGCAACGTCCAGGGGCCACATTCATATCTTGACAAACCACACTTGCTCTGGCGATTTGTCAGACTGTTGGTAACGGAAACACCGGCACATGCCAAAAATCGGACACAAATGGGAGCCACTCGCCAAAGTTATCAGTTAGGCCCTCATTTTCAAAAAGCTTTTCAGATTCACGGAAAAGAAAACGCCGAAAAATCCACGGTCACAGCTTGGAGGTGGCGGTTGGCCGCACACCCATCGTGTCCCTCCAGAGCTGCCAGCGTTCAGGCCACGCGCTGCCGCCACGGCTTGCCGAGGCTCAGGCGAGCCGCCGCCCGCTCCAGCTTGGCTCCGTTGCGCTCCAGGTAGGCGTGGGCGTCGTGCTGCAGCTGGTTGAGGCGCTCGGCGCGACGCTCGTCAAGCGCCACGTCCTCCCGCGTCAGCGGGTTGAAGCGGAAGTAGACGTCCGCGGGCAGCAGGCCGTCCAGCATCGTGTGCACCTCTGTCCGGTGCGCAAGATCAAGAGTCGTACGTGAGATTGATTTTTGTTTGTTTGTATGTATGTGCATTATATAGGGTTTTTTTTGTGGTTAGATCGCGTAAATATGAACGGCGATAAACCTGTCACCATCCAACACAGCCAACTAGTGAGGTTTGTCACGTAAACAGAACAGGCCATTTCGTTACTAGGACAGCACACCGGTGCGTTGGAGAGCAAATCCACAACCTTTACAATCTGAGTAGGACGTTTCGCCAGTAATAACAACAAGCTTCATCAGGTGACAGCCAGATTCGTTATGGATTTCTACTAGTAACGAATTGGAATGTTCTGTTTATGTGACAAACCTTACTAAATGGCTGTGACAGGTGGGGGGTGAGTTTAACGACACATTTATATTCACGCGATATAACCCCAAAAAAAAGTATTATGGATGATATTGGTGGCAAAAACCTACGTGTTAAACTATATGTGGTCAGGTTGATTTATTAAATTATTACACTTTTTTTTACCAGGGTAAGGCCCATTGAGCCTATATAGCTCTTTTTCAGAAGCGCACCTGGCCACAAGTGACACGGCTCAACGAAACGGCTTATCGCGTGGACATTTGTAGCAGCCAATACTCTGAACGTATGCTGTTTAGAAATGTGGAGGGAAAAAACCCGGGGGACGCGGATAAAAATCCACGCGACCACTGGGAGAACATGCAAACTCCAAATATACAGCAGGCGTCAGGATCAGGATCGAACCCACGACCCTCTGTATATCAGGCGAGATAGTTAACATCTCTCCACCCTGGCGCCCATTGATGATCTTGCCCTCGTGGATTCACTCTAGTTAATCACTCAACGAGAGGTCAGTTGCCTCCTCATAAGTCGACCGCTACTGCAATGGGTACGTTCACTCATTGATGCCTCTGCCCGTGTTCTGGACTCAATCTCGTGTTCTGCAGATCGTGACAACACACCCTCTGACACACTCACTCACACAATCACCCACTCGTCTACCATGCTTCATCACGCTCATCGGTGTGTGGATTGGTGCAGGAGGGGGGACGACTAAGGACCGGTTTAGATACGACTCGCCGCAAATCAGGTCACAGTGTGCATTGTGTCGTGGTTGGATAATCACTACACCACTGCATTTCCCAGATGCTTGTTCATTCTCATGTTGCAGTCATCATTATTTTATCGACCATCGAGGGTGGGATAATTAGCTGAGTTGCACCTGGAGCAGGATATGACCTCGCAACCTTTGACTGTAGGTCAAGCACTCCACCACAGTAGCACTGGATCAGATGAAATGTTAGTACGAACAATTTGTGATGAATGCTCTACTGTCATGTAAGCAAAGTTCGAAATCGATACATTCCTAACATCAATGTAACAGAAAGAGGCAATTAAATAGCAATGCTTCTCTGTACTATTAAACACAGAGCACTCTTTATTTAGCAGTTTCAGTTATCTAGAGTGTTTTGCCAGTCTACTGGCTTGATTTGGCAGCCTCACTCCAGAACATTAGAAAACTAGCTTTTTTGAAAAAACAAATTTTGGCTATAGGTCTCAAGAAAGGAAATGCATTTCTTCAACGAATAATACTAATAAAAAAAATTGCATCCAAAAATCTGCAGCATAATATCTCATCATAGCAATTACTTAAAAAAATGTGTGCAATAAAAGTAAAATTGCTGATAGAGGATGCTTGCTGTTGGAGATTTATATCAACCCAAAAGATCATCATGAGCAGTATAATATTCACTAAATGTACAGAATTTCAGTAAATCAAATTTTCAAGCATTTCCCAGCATGGTTGCATATATACAATTTTGCAACTGAAGCAGAACAAAAGTATGATGCCACTACCACATTAATGTGAGGTTTTTTTCATAATAAAATGCACCTCTTGTCACTACCGGGCCGAGTGCAGTCTGTTGCCACTGCCGTTTCATCGAAGATTCATGCGGGTTTTATTTTGCAATCTAACTTGCAAAATGTTTGAAAAACAATGATAGTGCCAGGACAACATGCAAAGTCACGGTTGTCCAACCAAGCGCTTAGATTTAGAATCCAAAGTTGACGTTGCTGTCTGCCACTGAAACCAATTATACATCATGACCATCAGTCATGATCAATCCACTGCTGGATGAAGGCCTCCGCAAACAGTCACTATGTCACGGACCTGTGATGGAATAAAACTTTGAAGAGGACCTGCACATGAGCTGAAGTAATTGCTCCATCTCCATGGTGGGCACCCTTTCCGGCATATTCCCTCATTTGGCAGCAGCTAACATTGTGTTGTTAGTCTTGACCACCGGCCATAATCTCTTCAAGGGATGTGTCTTTCCCAAGCACACGTATTTTTCTTCACCGTCAATATATCTGTAACTTGCGTAACTTCTCTTGTATATAGCTCACCATAAATCCCAGAAATGCTTCGTTCATTCTGGTCTAAATGAGTCCTTACAAGATTTTATAATAAAATACTCAAATGCCATCACTAAATTATGGACAGTCAATATCAACATAACAGACTAAAGGAGTAGGAGGCTCTCATTAAAATCTTCCTGCATGGCGAACTACAAAACTGGAAAACACACGATCCTCCTGAGTTTAAGATTTGGGCCAATAAACTTTTCCGCGTAATGTCAACGGAGCATTTGGGCTGCAAAATGACAAAACAGATCGTTGGCTTGCCAACAGATCTGGTCCCCATTGTTTTATACTCCACCAAATCCTTTCAGGGGCGTTAACATAATCCAGCTGGGTTCGTACCCAGGTGGGTTCACTCTTATTGAATGTTCTCCTTATTGTCTTCATTACTCTTCCTTTAGTTCAAATGAGGACTCTGCACATATTTAAATCCCCTCCCCTCGTCCCCATACATTTAGCCCTTTCACCTTGAAATTCCCTCCCTTAATTTGTTTTACCAATTAACCTCGAAGGTTTATACCAATAAAGACAGATGGATTTAGCGTTAAAAGGAGACAATGTGAAATTGGGTCATTCCTTAACTGTTGGTTAGTTTACTATTTCGAAAAAGAAATACCAATGGATTTTTTAATGCTTTCTACCATTAGTTTTTTTTTCTCTGAAAGTATCAAACTAATAACATGACACGGCCAAACGTCATGAGCAGAGGCGCGCACATGACCTGTCCTGTGACGTCGTGAGATGTCACAGGACAGGTCACGCATGGTTATGGCGTCGTGGCGCATGACGACATCGCACTGGCCGAGGAGACTCACCCCATCACCGCTGGATTTTTAATCACCAAATTATGGGTAATGCTATGATTAATTTCCCCGATGTTCTTGAGGGTTAAGTCTCCAATGGGGAAACAACGTTATAATTATATTGCATTTATATTGAAATGTCTTTGCAAAGAGTTATATCGTGACCCAAAATCACAGTCAAATGGACGACAAAGCTCATGCATTAACACATTCAACCTGAGTTGCCCCTGGCCTGCTCTGATGAGTCCGGTGTGCCTGATACCCTCGATGCCCCTAAAACTACCACCCGGAACGTCGGAATGTTGCAACGTATAATGTGAAGGAGGATGTGGAATGAAAATATTTAATACAAAAAAATAAAGAGAGGGAGTACGCGATGGTAGCTACACGCCTCGGTTGCACCGCACACTCACCCTCCGTGTCCGTGGCGCTGGTGATCACGTTGCTCAGCTTGGCGCGCAGGCTGGTGGAGGAGACGTTGCTGGAGCTGGTGAGTTCGTGCCGACCGGTGCCCAGCGACACCACGCACTGCCATGGCATGCCCGGCCACAGCAGCTGGCACTCGTGAAGGGCCAGCCCGCATGGGTTATTCACCGTTAGGGCGCCGTCCTGTTCCCGCAACGACAAAGAGCGTTCAATGCACCGATGGATATATAAATATAAAACCCGAAAAACAGACGCTCCGATGGTCTTAGAGTAGACCGTGGAGGTTTCATATCAAACACATTCCTGCGGAGGGAGCTGGTAAGAACGTTGGGTTGCTCGGTCAATGGCCAGGGTCAACGGCGGCGTGGTGTATTCCGCAAATATGCCCGACTGTGAGTAGGTTACACGTTGAGTTTTATAAGGGCACCACGGGGTGACCAGCCCCTCCCCACCCAGCCCCTCCCTCCCCACCCTCCCCCCACCCAGCCTCACCCTCCCCACCCAGCCCCTCCCCACCCAGCCCCTCCCCACCCTCCCCACCCAGCCCCTCCCCACCTTCCCCACCCAGCCCCTCCCTGCACGAAGGACGGATGGACACAATAATCCCCTGTGGGCTGGTGTAACCAGGAGGTTCCTACCAGTATATTTGTAGAATCTGGCAGGAAGAAGCAATGACGGCTTGGTGTGCTATCATCTAAGATAGTGGCTTTAATGACCTCTTAAACCGGATATAGAATTGCGTTCAGAAATGTACTCTCAATGTATTGTCCGTGGCAAAGCAAATTATATTTGACAACAAGACTATTGTTTGTTTAAGTGGATATATAAACACACTCCATGCATGAGTGCAATTGTACATGCTTGCATACTGATAACAGGAAACCCATACTACTGTATCAAGGTCAAGCCAATAATGACACTGATGACCCAGTTACATTTCATGGAAAACTATTGTTGGTGTGGCCCACATAATAAGCAAATGGCATAACATTCATCAACGTCCTACAAACTGTATTCACGTTGTATACGGCGTTACAAAAACCACTGCGTTACAAAAACCCACTGCATAATTGTTCCATGGGCATATGCTCCGCAATTACAATTATCTTATTCTAAACAGTGCATTACATTCATTTGCACTTTATTTGTAGATGTGATGTGCAATTACAAATCAATGCACCGGCCCAGAGCACTAATTAACTTGACTACTTAAGGCCATCAATTGGTGCAATCATTTGCATAGCCATCAGCTGCAACGAGAGAAGAACTAATGCTTTTAAACTTAAAGCCTCATGGCCTGATTAAAAAAATCAATTAACCTCAATTTCTATCAGGCACGAGTGTCTCGCAACACACAAGCTGTCTTTCCTGCTCATCAGGAGCCTAAGTAGATTGTGTGACATGTGAATGTGACTACCTATTTACCACTTAAAACCACAATACTACAATAACATTTCTCCTTTTTGTTTATAGTATATTCATGACTAGCTTTACTACCCGGCTTCGCCCTGGACTTGGATTCACCACGCCCGGCCGCCTTTGTCCCCCCAGTGGCGATGTTCACACACAACACCAGTTACTCGTTTGAGGCTGGGTCGACCTAGGGGAGGCCCAGGACCGGTTGAAATAATCGTCACCGGTGGTGGCCGTGAGCGGGAATCAAACTCGCGTCGCTGGGTTCGTAGTGCATTATTGCGTCCCCCCCCCCCCAAAAAAAAAAATACCAAAGTGTATTTTTATCATTTTAGCATGGTGTACAGTCTGGAAAGTACCCACATGGCAAATTACAAGTTTGTTGCATGTCTGGAAGTATGCTAAACATTTTAAACAGACACACATTCACAAATTTCCCTTCTATAAAAAAGATTTCCCGACTATGCTACCGCCACCTCAGCACACACCAAATCATTATGCATGACCTTTCTGCAACAGCAAAGGCACGCACAACACCATGGGATGGACCTGGAAGTAGCATCCGTTATGGATCTGTCTACCGCAATCTCTCAACTGTGCTCTCTAGGCCACAGCAGCGTGTTTTACTCAAGGATTATCGTCTGAAAAAGTCCTTGGCTATCGGAAATGAACATTAAAATAACAAAACCGAAAACCCGTTTAAGTTCACCCAGCCATCTTCACCCAAAATGTGTATACACCTTTCCCAGTCTTGTAATGTTCAAATTGTAATGTTTAAGAGCCGAGGGTTTTAAATATGCAAAGAAGCATCCTTGTAGTAATGTTTGGGTGTCCCTTAAATCCTTTACACTGTATATTAAGGGATGGGTAAGGTATTGAAAGACAGCTTCTCACTCATTACACTGTTCAACAACAAAAAATCCTTTTTTTCTGGCCTGGACTTTTGCAGCTGTTTTAGACTAATTTCAGGGTGCTGATTCCAAATCTGATCTCAGATTTGCTCTATCACATCTAATTTTATGCTATCGGCATACCCCATTTTCATTGATTTTACCCGAAATTAACTCTGTCTCTTATGATTGCAAGTTGTTGCGAGTCAGTGACTGCTTTCGTGTTAAAATATGGTGCTGTATTTTTAGGATAGTGTGTTTATAATATTATTTTATGTAGATATCCACATTTATTTAATATTTTTCTTCTGCAGTTTTTATTGAAAATGCAATATTTGATATCTCAAAAACCTGATGTGATAGACAAAAACTTATGCCAGATTTAGAATCAGCACCCCAAAAATTACATTAGAACCGTTGGAATACCTTATGCCAGAAAAAGTGTGTTGACCAGTGTAATCGATATTCAAGGTGAAGAGGCCAACAGACAAGTAACATTGCCCTCTATAATCGGCATGGGAAGAGCAGTTGCGAGTTTAATGGAAAATTAACATTCCTCCTAAATCAGCCTTGTCCCACACTCCAAACCTTCACTGCCTTGATAAATTGGCTTTTCTTTCTGCCCGTCATTTAGTAAAGCACCCATTACTTTGCAGTGTCATACTATTATTTGTTTATTGGAAGTGGTTGCAGATTAATTGGTGGCTTCCTAGCAACTAGTTTGTTGTCAAAGCTTAATGATTAAGTTTGCAAAGAGCACTGCAATTTATTGCAATTATCTATAATGAGCCTCATATGGTATGACCCTTTTGGCGTGTTCTTCTGTAAATGGTGATGCATTCTTACTAAAATCACGTTATCGAATAACAGAAATGTACTTGGGAGTTCGCTAAGCCGTGATATATTACTCAATAGTTTACATTTAACGTTTAACAAGATAAAAATGAGGGAATACACAAAGTAAAGAATAACATTAAGTATTTTACGACTCTTTTCATTCAACCTATTTCTTCATTCCTATGGTGCTGTAACAGATTTCACTAGCCCGTGGGAAATCAGGAGCTGTCAACATTCCCACTAAACATTTATTGATGAGCATTGTCCCAAGGTGATTGAATCACATGCTGCAATAAATAAATAAACGTGCCATAGATATGGGCAAAAAAATTACGGCAGCATAATGATTGCCATTAAATGTTATTCTGGAACGGATTTTTAAATAGTATGAATGAAGAAATGCAGAAGGCAGCTTAACTGGAAGCTTCCTTATATAATCGTCTACTTAATATACAATGGGGCTATGGAAGCACATGCAGTGTGCAATGCTTGTGCATGAAATCACATATGATTGAATTAATACCATTAAATTAGGTTATTAAAGAGACCAAACGAGGCTACTGCACAAAGTACTACACAAATTCACCCAAAATGCAACTCTATAGTAAAAGTGTCATACTTGAAAAAAATACATTCTTCGACCACGCTTTATCCAATCGGGTATAATGTGTCTTTAAGTAGAAAAAAACAGGGTCATACTGGTGTCAGAAACACGCATTCTGCAATAAGTTATTTAGAGGATACGTTTGCATTTGCTTCTAACTTGCCAACTCTGGTGTACAAATCCCGCTGCTGTTCTGCTTACCACTTGGTGACCCAAGAATTGGCTCGTGTTGTGCTCGGCACACATCCAGCTGACAAAAGCGCTGGTCTCTGAGCCATCATTAGAATTCTGAAAACGTACACCCTTCCGCCAGGATAAGTGGTAAATGGCTAGCTTGTAACTTCAACAAAAAAAATCGCCATTACCATTAGTATGCCAAGTACTGCCTTAGGAAATTTGCTCCAAGTGAAAAAGATGATCATGAGAGATAGCGGTGGGGTTCAGAGGGGCCTCAAGCCTGCAATGGCTTGACATGGCTCATGAAAGATGTTCCAATCAGCATAGGACAGTCCACGTGTTGTACAAAGCAAACAACATGCCTGGTTAAATATTCCAAGCACACTAACCCTCACACCCAGATGAATAACATGTGCAAGTGTTTTCTGTACACGTGTGGAAATGCTCCAGAGCCACATTTAGTGATGAAGCATCCCATGTGAAAACAAAAAGAGTCACAGCGTATAGCAGGCTAAGGCCGTCAATTAATTCCGGGAAACGTGACGGATGTCACCACAACGCACATGTGTGGAGGTCAGAAATATAAATTGAGCAGCAATGACTTCCAACCTAAGGGTGAAAATGATCAATTTAGGTCAGATGCTGCGTCAACACTGTTATCCTTTGGCAAGCGAGTTTATTTCAACTGTAACATATCATTTTTTAATGTTTCAGATTCCAGTGAGCATGTGTAATGAAAAGAATGTCACTGCAGTCTTTATCTTTCACAAAATTATCCAAATGCAGAACATTTATTTTACTGAAAGAATTTGAAACTTCCATAACACAAATTCCAAACACATGTCTAATAAACAACAGTATGTGGTGTGTGGGGAGCGATAGTGTAGCGGTTAGCGCGCTGCGCTATGAACCCGGCCACCCGAGTTCGATTTCTGCTCACGGCCAACACCAGTGACAATTATCTGAACTGGTCCTAGGCCTCCCCTAGGTCGACTCAGCCTCAAATGAGTACCTGGTGCGGTGTGTAAACATCACCACAAGAGAGACAAAGGCGGTCGGCCGTGGTGCTGGCCACCCGCCCCCTCGTGTACCGTTGCAGCCTTTATAGGTGCTCGCTAACAGCACTTGCCCCTACAGTCTGTTAAGGCTATATGGGGGATCTTTATCTTTTTTTGTGTGTGCAGCGGTAGTGCAGTGGTAAGCGCACTGCACTACAAACCTATCCAACAGTCCGATTCCCGCTCACGAACAATAACACTAGCCCTGGGCCTCCATTAGGTAGACTCAGCCTGAACTTATCACCTGGTGTGGTGTGTAATTATTGGCAGTCAAGTGTGGTGCTGACCACCAACTCCCTCGTGCACCATGCTGGCCTTCATAGGTGCTCGCTAACAACACTTGCCCAAACAGCCTGTTAATGCTACATGGGGGATCTTTGCCTATTTTTGTGTGTGCACATGTATGGGTGTGTTAATGTTCGTTGTCTATTTACTTATTTATAAAGATAATTTACAGACCTTTACCAACTGACAAAGAGATTAAGGCTTCCCCAAGGCATGTTGGTCAAAGGGGTTGTTTGACCATACATCAGCGCATTGGTCAGTCCGGGTTGCTGGGTTCATAGCGCAGTGAGAGCTCTTCCATCACCGTACAACCCCACTATTTATTGAGCAAACAAATACTAAACAAGGATGTATTTTTCATTCAATGAAAATTGACGATTTACTTTTCGAGGCTGAAGTAGGCGTTTTCATCACGATCTTTTACCAAACTTTTAACTCACACTAAAAACCAATATTCTGCTGTCCTGCTAGCCAAAACCTCAATTATCTCGAGTTGAATAAATAAAATCACAAACAACGTGGGGGTAGTGTGGCCAATGGCGGAGACCAGGATTTTCAGGTAGGGGGCAACCCCTCCAGGTGGCGCAGCCATCGATCGATGGTCGAATTCGAACCGTGTGATCGGCATCGCGCTCGCTGAAGGTGTTTGCCTTCAGGGAAGTCGTGTACTGTACATGCAACTGCGCACAATTCTGTGAGCCACTTATAACTGCTTTGCCGTTAGTTATTGCGAATTATGGACTCAGACTATTGTCCTATTATCTCATAGTCCCTGGCATGTAATAATATGCTACACAGTGGCAGGAGGGTCGCAAAATGCGGATTTATTACTAATAAACCCCAATGATCAGATCAAAATTAGGGATTTCGATCGGATCATTGGGGGGGGCCGTGCCACCCCACCCCCCCCACAGGCTCTGCCAGTGGGTGTGGCCAGCACCAAACCTGGCTGCCTTTGTCTGCCCAGCGTTGATAGTGACTCACCGTGACAGGGACTAGTTTACTGCTGAGTCGATCTAGGGGAGGCCCAGGACCAGTTCACATATTCACCACGGACTTCGGCCATGAGCAAGAGTTGAACTCGGGCGGCTGGGGTTTGTAGTGCGGCACGCTAAACCGCCTGCGCCACCGCTCCGCACGCGCTCAGATGTGGAACTTCGGCGCATCCGGACGGCAACGCAGCGTTTGCTGGTGGAGCGTCACACAACGCACGGGGCGAGAGGAGAGGGGGCGTCACCTGGTGCAGGTAATCGTTGAGCTTGTACTCCTGGAAGTATCCGGGCGCGGCAGAGGAGGCGCGGATTGCCTCCCACAGGCGATAGCTGCAAGCCCCCGGATAGTGCGAGCGCATGCCCACGCGGTGGTTGTAGTTCCTGAAAACGAAGGGCTTGGGTGCCGAACCAACGTTCACCACCGTGCTAACGGCCACCACCTGTTTTGTCCGACACAAGCACGTGGAGGTCGTGGGTACACAGGGATACATTTTGTTTTAATGGGAAAAGGCAAATGGTAAAAAAAAAACATCTAATCACTGTGCACTGATTTATATGTCACGAGCACAGGATCAATGTTTAATTATATAATTATCAGAATATTAATGAACCCAACACAATACTGTACAATGTTGTTTTTTTAATAGCTACAAATGTTTGAGGGTATATTAAACATTCCCGTCTGTAGTCTGTCTGAAAGTCTACGAGAAAATGATGGTTGACAATGTATTATATAACTTTCCAGAAAATCCATTAAATAAATCGAGTGCCTGAGATTCTAACGCTGTACAAAGAACTCTCATGCACGAAACATGCAGGGCCTCTGCTGCCGAATGCTGAGGGGCAGTAAAAATTCATGACGGGTATCAGGAACCAGACCAGATAATGGTTCCCAATTTATTAAAACTAGAGGCAGCAGAAGATGTGCTTTAGTTTGGCACGAAAGGAAGAGCCCATCAAATACACATTCAATTCTGCAGAGTGCCGTAATCTAGCAGAGTGCATAATAATTTCTATCTTAGCACTAACGCAAAAAACCCACAAAGAAAAATGCGCGACTGTTAACACAAAGCAACAAGGCGTGGCTCTCTTTAAAAAAATTCATCCGAAGAAACATCAGCACGGAACGATTGTGAGCTTTTCTATTGACATTGTATTCATGTTTTGGGACCATATGTAGCCTCAGGAGGCCAGACTCAACTGTCATTTTGGTGCCATAGCGTACTTTTAAAAATTCTGGATTTTCTTTTCAAAGTGACCTACTGCAGAGAGATGTTGTGTACCGGTACAGCCCTCTTGTGCATCCAATGCCGCACGAGCAGGCAATGGGGGTTAATTCACCATATTTTACCACGCTCCTCAGTGTAGGTTGGTGAACGCAGAGGGAGTCGATGTTCGAGTTTTTGGAGCATAGAACAGCACATCAGTGGCTTTCACAGTGTGACTATGTGGACAACATAGCGTTGCAACAACCTAAAGCCCCTGTGTACTGTGCATGCCTGTGTACATTTTGGGCGATTGTTCATTGACACAAGGGTTTGCAGGTAACAACATTGGAATTCAGTTTATTAAATGTTGCCAAATTACCTTTGGCGTGCCAGAATTACGAGCCGTTTCAATCATTCGCGAATCTCCCATCCGTTCCCTTGTCAAAAAACAATGGGAAAAAGACAATTTAAATTATCGATGTTCACTGTATTTGCTGGTAACATGTCACACGGAACGGAGCAGTTCACGCAAAAAAAAGTCCTGAATGCAAGTTTGCAGAGACAAATGGCTTTGCATCCCAGTAGCTTTCGGCTCAGGCACTGCAATGTCAGCCACAGCGTCTCTCATCAGACGCTGCGCACTGTGAATCCACTGCCAAATCAATATGCATTTGGCAACAGAGACAAAAGCTTGCGGTGCTAAATCCAATGCTGAGGCACCGGTGGAGAGCCGAAAGCGGATGAATATAATTAAGTAACTTGCGTGTTGTCTTCATGCCGCAAACGGACAGGATGTAATTCTGTAATGCACGCTGATGTTCATTATGAGAGCTTTCGTGTCATCTCGGTGCCAAGCATTTGTTTGAAAAAAATCTACCCAAGAAAATGTGTTTTGAAAGATTAAAATTATTTTACTTTATACGATGTGTGTATGCAAACACAGTTATGTACAGAGGGATGTTACATTTTTCGACACATGTCTATTTTGCAAGTGATCCCTTAGGCATAAATATAAATGCAAAGTCAGAGAGTACCATTTCTACTCATCTTGGCAGTATGAACTCACATACGGAACGTATACGCAAGTACTTGCACGCATGTACATGTGGCAGCCCTTTGTCAATCCGCTTCCAGGCGAGGTTCTACCCACCCCATTACAGGCCGTGGGGGTTAATTGACCATACCTCCCCCACACTGGTCAGCGTGGGTTGTTGAAGGCAGGTTAGTATAAACATGGGGGGGCATCAAAGCATAGTTCACCAATGGATTTTGCTGCGTTGCCCCCTGCTGGCCAATACAAAACCCCACAGCCTACAAGACCAGTTTAAACATTGTGGATAACCAACGTAGCACTATCCAGACTACACCCCTGCTTGACTTACGAGATATGACGGGATCAGGTGCATTCCAGATTACTTCATCATAGTCATACCATGCGTGCACAGTGGGTGAATACTCTCTGGTTTTTACGACGGTCCGATTTACAACGATCTGCATTTACGACGTTTATATCATTGCCACCATGAATCAATTGACGAAGCAGAAACTTGATTTACGACGCATTTTTCGACACGACTCTAGGACACATTTGAACAGTCTGGTTTCCGATGTGACTTGGCATGAAGATTTTTGTTATTCTCAAGTGTTTTTTTTTACCAATTAAACTGTGTTAATACGGCTGATAAAAGGAAAAAAACTAATCAGCAGGTTGGTGTTTCTGCTCTTTCTACTACCTGAGGAAATTTACGACGATCTGATATACGACCGGGGGGTTCCAGCAACGCGCTGCGTTGCTGAAAAAACGTGAACAGTTACTTGAGTATTTTCTCCCAGGCCTGGCTGTCGTAGAAGGCGTGGCTCCAGCCCATCTTCATGGTGCCAACAAAAACATTTTGAGTGAAGATGTCAGAGCCCAGCTGGCGGTACATTTCCTCGCACTCTTGCAGCGGGATGCGGTAAACGCCCAGCATGAACGCCAGGATGGCACCTGTCACACGAGTCAGAAAAGCAGGAACTGTTTGCTTCAATTCACCTCACACCGTTTCACACTCACGTGCGTAGCAACAGCGGTGCCAGCATAAAATGGGAGTCATTTATTGTAATGTGAAACGTTAAGCAGCTCCTCTGTTGGCAAAATTGGCTACAGTACTATTACAAGCTATGCTCCATCAAGCTCCTACATGTTGTTGCTTAATCTTCACTTTTATTCTTGCTCTATATGAACCCTTTGTCTTAACTGCTGTTTCGAGCATTTGCATCAATGACTGTGAACGGATTCAATGATACGCTCTATAATCGAATGCACCTTGGACCTGTGTTTGAAACCAACCTGCATTATTAATCTGACTCATCAGGAAAATCATTGCGTTCACCGATTAATACGTTTGATATTTTTTTTTTGTCAGACCAATTAATGCTCGGTGCCTATTTAGGCAGCAATTATCACCAGCAATGTTTCCTCAACACACATTAGGCACAATCACGATAAGCTACATTTCCTCATACTCCGGCAGCAATTAAGTTCTCCACAATAGTGTTGGTTTGGTTTGGTCGCGTAAATGTGTCACGAAACCGACCACAACCCAACACAGCCAATAGTAAGGTATGTCATGCGAGCTGAGCTGGAGTCATTGGCCGTCGGTTGGTGGCAGGTTTAAGGACACATTTATATTCATGAGACCTAACCCAAAAAAACCTCTATTATGTATATTGGTCGCGAAAGCTTCTCTTCCTCTCATGCCAATTCCCCTTGCCTCACGTGAACGAATATCCCTCGTTTCAATCCTCACGCCCTAAATTCCTCACTTTTCTGAGCATTCCCACTCTATCCCTGTTCCTTGGCAAGCCTCTCAGGGGCTGATTTGCCACAAATTTTCTTAAGTTCACTTCTAGAGATTGAAAATCGTAGTGGAGTGATCGGAATGTATTCCACGGACGGCGAAACTTGGTGGCTTGCGGTAAAACCAAATGCTAACAGAGTGAAATGAGTTTCTGTCTGGGTTGCTTTTGATATCAGGGGAGCCCAAAGGCATTGACTGCAGCACTTTAACGACACAGAGGTTTAACCCAGTGAAACGGCAGCTGTCAAACATACAATGTCAATGCACTCTCTTTTTTATCCACTTAGAGGTCAAAAAAAAAATGTAGGCTTCCATTAAAAATTTCCATTTTATTGTCATCTAACGAGAAATGACGTCCATCCTCACACAGAACCTCAAACAAATCCACTGAATCTTGACTTAAAGCTTTCGTGACTGCAGGAATTCATATTCTTTGGGTCTTTCGGTAAAGCGACATAGATAGAAAAATAATACAAATATATCACGACGTTTCGATCGCAACACGAGCAATCGTCATCAAGTGAAAAAGAATATACCGGGAGAGCTGCTGAGGCAGGATGTTATAAAGGTTTGAGATGGGTGAAGCCCAAGGGTCATAAGCGAAGTGGGTGGGGCTAGTGAATAAATTTGCATGTCAATGTAGGATCGAAAAGCTGAGCTACCTCCACGACGACAAAGCTGTGGAGGTGGCCATTGTATTGTGAGAGATTGGCATGTCAATGTAAGAATAACGAAAACCACCGCCACATCGAGGAAAACGAGCAACGGTGGCTGTGTTAGTGAGACACGCCGTAGCACTCTTCTCAGGAAATAAAAGAAAACACTGCAGTATGAAACACAATTAAGCTTTGACAAACGTTGGCAATTCAAAGGCAAATTTGCATTCTATGGGTCACAAACAAGGTTATATTTAAGAATTAGCGTGGTCTTTGAAGCCGAAACTGCTAGAGTAGCGGGATAAAACACTCCACCCCCCCCCCCCCACCCCCAAGTACACTTACTCACATGCTAAACTGCTAGTTCAGAAAATGTGCTAACATTACAGAGGCGAATCCAGACTCCTTGCCGATGACAGTCACGTATCCCGGGCAAGTGGGTGTGCAGCCACAACGCATTACCAAAACACACAACGCACGCGGTGAAGGGTGCGCGAGTGAGGACAACATAAATGGTAGTACCTGTGCTGACGCCGCAGATGTAGTCAAACATTTCGTGAACGGGTTTCCCTGTGTGCCCCTCCAGCTTCTTCAGTGCTTGCAAGGCCACAAGCCCCCTTCGGAAACAGGCAAAAGGTGTCGAAGTTACTTGCTGCCGAAACGAGCATCGAGGTAGTACTCAACCTACCCTCCCCCCATATATACAGCACCTGAGCCAGCGGAGGGAAATTCCACATTCGTATGGTGGAGGAAAGTCTATCCATAGGACAAGCACGGCTGAGTTTCCCAGAGTGGGACTTGTTGCCTTTTTTCCGCACCTCCGATTGGCACGGTTGGATATGTGCGGTGCGAAAAAAGTTCAACATGCGTACATAGATCTTATATTATATTTATTTAGATAATAGATATCGCAAATCACTGATAAACTGCAGCATTGTATTCCAGTGCTCTTTCGGTATAATACATTTGGCTAATTCCATGTGGGAACACCGAAAGCTTTGCATGTGGCGCCATCTGATGCCTTCGCTGTGACATTGCATGGAAAATTCGGTATAAGAGTGCTTGCTGCAGGGTTTTACGATAACCAAATTTGTAAATGGTGAAAAAAAGCCATAAAGCTCTATATCAATCCCATTTGTACTGCTTGACACATATCAATGCAAGTGGTACACATGCGTCCAATGTGACATACTTCCCCACCCCATGCTGGGCGTGCGTAAATAACAACATCGTTCAAAGCAAGCTGCACTTAGCAGGTTAAACAGGAAAACATTATAACGTTGCATATTAAGCATGCTTGGCTATATTAATTGCATGACAGCATTACAATCGCAGTGTCATAAAATTATTTGAGACTGTACAAATTTTCAGATTATTCAACAACATCCCTAACGCCACTGACATTGCATACGTCATTGGAACTGCTTGCGAAGTTGGTTTGACATTGGAGCAGATTACACTCGTATTCAAAAGGCAATAGATGAAACATGCAATTCAGCATTCATTGCTTCCTGGCTGTTCGAGAAGTGAACCAGAAAGAAATTGATTACTTGCTGTAGAAAGGAGACGTCCGCTTACTGTGCAATATGTAAAACTAAACTATAAACTATTTGTATTTTACCAGGAAAGGCCCACTGAGCTATATAGGTCTTTTTCATAAGTGACCTGGCCACAAATGATAGTCCAATGAAGTGGCTTATCACGTGGAAATACATCGCAGCCTAATACTCTAAACGGGTGATGTTCATTCTAAATGTGGAGGAGAAAACTGGAGGTCGCGGAGAAACATCTACACGACCACGGGGGAAAACATGCAAACTCCAAATGTATAGGTGTCAGGGTTAGGATCGAACCCACAACCTCCTGTATACCAGGCAAAGTAGTTAGCATCTAACCACCGTGGCACCCCATACACTGCCAGTTGCTGGAGAAGCTCAGGACTTATTTTTATGCCAGTCCAGATAGTGAGCCATCACCTCTGAGATCATGAATTTGAGTCTCTCAATCCATAAACCTGCACAAATAAGTAAAGGTGAAACCTAGCACAGTCCTGAAAGACTGCCCAAAAAACGAACAAGCCAATTGTAAAAATAATTAATATAAATGTTGAAACGACACAAATTGTAAACACAGCAGAATATGCATACATCGGGTAGTTGTTGAAGGTGGATCAGGATCCAACAAATAAAGTTAAAGTTTAACGTGAAAATGAGAATACCACTGTATCTAAAGAAGCGTTTTCAATCACTGCCAACTGATAGCCATGACATAAATTAGAAACACATTGACAAAGAAAACAGGGCCAAAGATGAAAAGTTAAAAAGGGAAGATACATGTTTTACGTAACACCGAGGAACAGAAGAAGGAACACAAGGATCAAGGAAAAAACACAAATCAGAGACATCATAATTACAAGGAAGCTAAATGGGATTGGGAAGGACATATTGCCAGACGGCAAGATGGTCGATGGACGAGACTGGTGACTGAATGACAGCCAAAGGAGTGAGCGAGTCCAAGTTGGTGACCATCGCGGAGATGAAGAAATGAGATAATTTAACATGCAGGAGATAGATGGATTGCAGCAGCACTGGACCATGAGGGACAGTGAGAGCATGGGAAGGCTTTCATTGTCCAGCAGTGGATAGGCAATGGCTGAAAATGATAACACCTCTCTGCATGGGACACATTTAAAGTTCCACCTGACCAACTCAATAAGGCGTCCTAAATTGTTTAAGATTTCGTTTCGCTGGTAATCACATCCAGCATCATCGGGCGATTTGCCAAAGGAGGTCCCATGATGAGACTTAAGTTCGTCTTAACTTATCCCTTTAACAACGATTACATATATTAAAGAATGCACAAGTTTACTAACAAATATACCATTCGGAAGAATTACAATAAATCCATTGCTGGATGAGTGTGCGTTGTCTTATGATCCTGCAAAGTGACTGCACACGAATGGACCTCAGTGCTCCACCACCTCAGTAAGCATCCTGTAAGAAGGCGCATTTCCTCCGTTGCCTGCCGCTCAATGGTTCTCGACAATCAGCCATCATCCCTAATCAGCCATCAGAGACATGTCCTGCCCAAGACTAGAAACATGTCGTAACAGTCAGAATATCTAACTTTCATTATGTTAATTTGGCCATATGCTCCTTTTCATCTCAATGGAATTCAAATAATGAATCTCAAAGCGCATCTTTGCGCTTCCTAACATCGGAAGAAAGAGTGTTCAAGACGTTCTTTGAAGCGGATCTGAAAGCACGCAATGCAGTGACCAACTTTGTTCAATGGTTATCCAAAAGCCGCTGCTGCGAGCATGACTAGAATTCACGTGATGGTTTACGCTCCTCTACGAGATCAGCAAGATATTGTAGTTCATTTGTGGAAAGCACTTTGCATGTAATGGGTAATTGGTCGTAAGGAATAGAGTTTGGAAATCCCTGCATTAGGATTCACTTCACGAAAATTAAGACAATGATGTAGACGAGTAAGTGGATATGCGCTACCTCGTTCCTCCACCGTCGATGGAGAGTACACGAATGCCAAAGCCACGCACGGGGTCAACGTATCCGACGAGAGAGAGGGCTTCACGTACAGACGCCTGCAGCCGTTCATTGCCAGCCTGCCTCATCCGCAACAGGCATGGAATAGCCTTCTCCTGCATCCCAGCACACAGGTATGTATGTTGAACTTCTTTCGCATCGTTCGTAGCTAACCGTGGAACATCGGAGGTGTGGGTGAAGGGCAGCAAACTCAACAAAAAAAGCAGTTCCAATGAAATGTAGTTTTCGATCTACATTCTAAAGTGCATAACTCCAGTGGCTTCCTAATAACAGAAGGGTGTAAAAGATGATCGCAGAAGTGCATCTGAAGGCACATAATGAAACGGCACCCTCCATGTACATTTGCTTTTAACTGCTGCCAAAATTGAACATTTTCCAAAAATTACAGACATTGCGACACTGCCAAGAAAAAGTAGGTTGAACTTATTTCGCACCTTACGTGGTGATCAGGGTTACAATAGCTGATTTAAAGAATGTCTACCTGTGTACTGTTATTGTTATTGCAGAGCTGAATTATCATCCGCCATGTTTGGTCACTCGTTTTCACGGAATTAGGTTGTTGTGAGGTGAAAAGTGTCACGTACAGCTCATTACAAGCGTCAATAGTCATATACTGTAAAGTGCATTGGGACTTTGGACAGTCCCATGTAGTTTAAACGTAGTTTGTTACTCAATACCTCTATGACCAATGACACAACAGTAAACACTGGCGGTGTTCAACAGGCATGCAACATCGCATACATTCCTTGATTTAAATATATTATTACGCGCTATGTGAATGCTTCTAATCATATGTGGCCAAAAATATATGATTCTATCAATACATGTTGAAAGAACTTGGTTTCAATTACCCCAATTGCCACATTCACCACAATGTAAAGAAAGAAAAATCTATTTTTTTAATTGAATCGTGACCTGTGAATCTTCAGGATGGCAAATCCAAAATGTTTTTGTGTACATCCCACTCATAAAAGTTACACATTCACAGCGTCAGATATATTAATACGCATTATGTACAAAAGAAGAACAATATCGTTGGTGGTTCTTGTTTAAAAAAAAACAATAAACATAAGTGTGAAATGGATTCAATGTAATGCCTCACTCAGACATATCTATAATATAATAGGTACATCGCGATTCACTCCATTGTGATGAAATAATTTTCACAAATTGAGGTCACAATTCAATTCAAGAATGGATAGTTTGTCATTATGCATGTGGAATCGCTACTGGTTGTAGGATTTACGCAAACCAATTACATACAGCACATATAAATCGTAAATACTTGATTCTTGTACACTCAATTGGATACATACATTATGAACATTATAACCAATTGCCATGGATTAAATCGATGCACTCTTACACACCTCATCATCATTATCACGATGCATGGGCAGAGAGCCCGTAGGTGTCTACTGCACATTTCAACCTTATGGCGGGACCCCGGTGTCCCGAATAAACGGAAGTCCAAATCGTCATTAATTTATTTATTTTTGGCGACTCCATCCCACCGCACACACAAACGCCGCGACCCACCAGTAATCAATCCTCTCGTTTCTTCACCAAGCACCCGTCGTTGCCAAAATTGCCATAGTAATTAACAAAACTTTTTAACTTTGATTAGCGCATTGTGTAGAGCTCGTCAAGAGGAATAGATTGCCGTATTGTCGCCTTCAACAGACATAAAATTACGTCGCAACGCAGTTTATGTGAGAGCTGGGGGCTTATGGGACCCCGGGGTCCTGCCATAAGGTCAATTTCCTAACTTATTTACACTTTCCTCCTCCTTGTGCCAATATGCTCAAGTAGTGCCACATTTGTGTGGAACCAATCAATTTATATCGTCAAGCCCTTCTCTGTTAGGATTTCCTCTTTCCAGTTCCTTACATTTTTCCGAACAACACACTTTGAATTTTCTTGTTGTTGTCCATCCTACACATATATAAAAGGGTAATTTGTGAATATGTGTCTGTTAGAAATGTTTAGCATACTTCCCAACATGCTACAAACTTCAAATTTGGCATGTGGGTAGCTTCCAGACTGTACACAATGCTAAAAGTAAAAAAATATACTTTTGTATTTTGGGGGGGGGGGGGGGGGGGCGTAATAATGGATATAATATATTGCACGGAAATTGAGCGGTAACGTCACTTCTGTGATGTCACGTACATGCGGCAGCGTTACAGTGTGCCTGCTAACGTCACCCTCCGCGTAGGTCCTGTATTAATCCAAGACAAGAATCCAAGTCTCGGGCGAAGCCAGGTAGTAAAGCTAGTCCAACATATACGTCCAAATAGTGCCAGTTTCCTTCTCATCACTGCCTGCATTATGAGGTCTTCTTCTATGTGAAACCTTTTTCTTGCTTCTACGTTGGTCACTCTTTGGGTCCAGTTTAGATGCAGTATCCTTCTATAACAATACGCCTAATATACCATCCTATGCGCATGTTGTCAAGACTCTGAATTGTTTAAGGTGCATGCTGTATAAAATTGACTCTCGATTCCAAATTCCATGCGAGCTTGCACACCTCCACAGCGACGAGCCTGGACTCGGGATACTCCACAAGATGCTTGTTGAGGTCCCCCAATCGGGACACCTGGCTGGGCAAATCGTTGGCCTTTCTCAGGTCCTGCACCAGGCACCGCGTGTGACTGTCCGCGCTCACACGTGCAAGCACCTGCTCCCAACAAAAAAGCGCACGGACGAAAAAAAAAGGTGAACAAGCCAACAGGTAATTTTCACTGTCAGGTGTGCAAAGTTCCAGCCGGCGTCATTATCTGTCGTTCCTATGTAGTCAATGGAGCGATAATTTATAGCTTCAGAATTTACAGCCACTTCCGTAAAAATGGTATTATATTAATGGTATAATCACACAACACTAGCTTTGATGATGACTAAATTGGTTAAATTTGTTTTTGTGAAGGTGACGTACATGAAAGTATTTGACCATATATAAACTGCAACTGGATAAGTTAAACTAATATTCAAGGTGTTCACAGTGAGGAGTGTTTGTGTGCAGAGTGTGACAAATCAAAAATGAAAGTACAAATGGTCAGGAGCTTAGACCATGCAAAGGTTACCTTCGCTCTTTGAAGCTGCAGCTTCAACATTTTCTCCTCCGATTTAGACACAGCTTTGCCAGGCTTATCTGCAGGCCCTGCCTCTTTCTCTGATGAGATATCAGCTGCATCCTTCTCCCCCATCTTCGAGGATTTCACAAGCCGTGGCTCACGGAGTTTGCTCGCCAGCCCCGTGACGTAGCCGCCCACCAAATTGACGGGGTGTCGGATGTGGTCTGAGAACGCCTTTTTCTTCGGAGATTGACCTCGAACACTCGCCGGCTTTTCCTGCACCGGTTCCTCGACACCACTCTTCACCTGCACCGAAACCGACTCAACAGGTTGCTTCTCAGGTGACGGTTGACTTGGTTCTAACGCCCGTTGCCCGGCTTCTGACGTGGTAGCTTCATTTTCCCAGAAGTGCTGATCAACATGCTTTGAAATGTGCTTGCTGGCCTCACCAAGGTCAACGCCAAAATATGGTACGCTAAACATATTTCCCTTAGGACTACTATCGTCACGGACATCATGAACGGATGATTCCACTGGTTTTGAGCTGCCATCTCTACTCCCATTGCCTTTACTGTCATCATCGTCATTACCATTCTTAACCCGTTTTTCTGGTGCACTCACAGGCATGCCCGTTACTGACGTCCTATTCACAGACTCAGAAGTTCGGGGAAATGTGGCAGGGTTAAAATTCACAAAAGAAAATCTCTCTCTGAGCTCATTGCTTGTGCTTGCTATAATCTTTGATAAACAGTTCAAGGTATTCTTCAAACGTGACATTCAGTACATTAATGTTAATCAAACCCCAAAGGCAACTGGATCACCTGAACGCAACTTTACCAATGTACTTCAGTTAAACATCCGACTTGACTCAAAACAGCATAATTGATTTGTGTATTCTAATTGCCAATACTAAATGCGTTTAATACATTGACAGTGTTTTTTTCCTTTTATTAAACATACTGCATGTGATAGCCACAGCTCTTATGAGCTATTATTGAAGAGTCATAATGTCTTGTTCCTTCATATCCAAGTTGAATGTAATCATGTCACCTTATTGGTTTACCCTGAAAAACAAATCCATGAAATAAAATTAAAACTATCACGTGCCTCATGCCTCTTTATACACAGAACATAATATAATTGGGGGAAAACAGCAAACATTCAATATAATTCAAACATCTCCATTATAATCTTAGCTTTAAGATACATTTTACTTTAAACAGTTAACTTTAGAGGTCTTGTATGACAACTACAATGCCTGAATATAGTTGGCACAATTTAACTTGGTTGAAATTATATGAATAACTGTAACTGCAGACTACATTTGGAGACGATGAAATGAACGGAATTAGTAAAATAAAAATCCCAATTAACTTAATTATAAGTTACAATAACAGACTAGAATATATCATAACAATAAACCAGAGACCTTTCAAAAGGGCTCACATATCAGCCACGATCTATTCACTTCCGGATTAAAGCCTCTCCACACATCTCCGACATCTAACCGTGTTGCAATGTAACAATCCATGTCAACAATGATAGCTAAAGTCAATTAGAATACCTCAATGTATTTGTAGATGATGGAAAAGCATTTCACGAAATAAAAATGTATAGTCGACCAAACTATATAAATAAAATGGCTCTAACGGGGCGTAAATAAAGCTACTTAATGCAAAAGTCTGCAATGCATACTGCCAAGCGAAACCTTAAATTACTATGCAATATCCAGTATGAAGTGCATTAGAAAACCAAGCTTTACTCGCAAAGGTCACTAAATTCAAACTGTCCCACTGCTCATGTTTGTTTGCCCAAATTGTAAACATTCCACATTCCTTCAGCAGGGCTAACAAAGTCAAAGAACAAAACAAAAACGAACGGCATTATAATCAGCCATTATCAATCTACTGTTGGATTAATTCTATGCCAAGCCATCACAATCCCTCAAGGTTCCTGCAATATAACAATCCACTTAGCGCTGAACACGCAGTTCCATCTCCACGAAGGACATGCTCTCCAGCAACTGTTCCCAATATCCTCGAGTGTACGGACCCCTTTTCAACCTCCAACCATTTTGAGGACCACCGCATGCTTAAAATTATACATTTCCTTGGTGATATTATTATTTCGATTTAAAGCTTTCGTGACTGCAGGGATTCATCTTCTTGGTTCTTTCGGTAAAGTCACGTAGAAGGGAAATAATAAAATAATACAAATAAAACATGATAAAATAAAATAATTCTCACGTTTCGGCCACAACGCAAGCAGCCGTCCTCAGGTGAAGAACAGGTCTGTCATTCAGACGCTGTCTTTCCGACAGACCTGTTCTTCACCTGAGGACGGCTGCTTGAGTTGTGGCCGAAACGTCGTGAGAATTATTTTATTTTATCATGTTTCATTTTTATTATTTTGTTATTTCCCTTCTACGTGACTTTACTAAAAGAACCAAGAAGATATTATTATACTGGTAGGAACCTCCTGGTTACACCAACCCACAGGGGATTATTGTGTCCGTCCGTCCGTCGTGCAGGGAGGGGCTGGGTGGGGAAGGTGGGGAGGGGCTGGGTGGGGGGTGGGAGGGGTGGGGCTGAGTGGGAAGGGGCTGGTCACCCCGTGGTGCCCTTATAAAACTCAACGTTGAACCTACTCACGCCGGCTTGTGCCCGCCCTCACAGTCGGGCATATTTGCGGAATACACCACGCCGCCGTTGACCCTGGCCATTGACCGTGCAACCCAACGTTCCTACGAGCTCCCTCCGCAGGAATGTGTTTATTTTCCGCGGACCCCCTGAAGTAACCTAAATGACCACAAGTTGGGAACCGCTACTCTCGAACATGTGGCCCTTTGGGTGGAACTCCGTTGAAAGTCTGGCCCGAAATAGCACAACCAATTAAAATCTCCTTGATAAAAATATTTAGGGCATTTCCCATCTCTGGTGGTAACTCAGAGCCAGTGCCTCATAGTAGTTATCCCACAACACGATGGCAGAGCCAAGCGTAAATTCCCACAATCAAGTCGAGAAAGCAATACATTAAAATTATTCTTGCATTAACAAGCCTATTCATATCGTAGCCGCCCAAAGCCAACTCCGAGTGGTGGAAATTCCTCAATCCTATAACTGATCCGAAATTAAGATCACAACCCAAGACCAAAATCAATGCAGTGACTCATTCTCTTCAAACACATGTGGAGCAGTGCTCATTTAAGTTGGCTATCCAGTTACCAGCGGTGGACATGACACATTCCCATGACATGTCCTTTTGGCCAATCCATAATTAAGTGACTACTCTTAATACAAAGCGCATTTCTGCCAAACAAGCGGAATTTCACATTCATATCGCATGACCAAGAGGACACAATAACGGTTATTCAGTAATACGGCAGTAACCTGTCACATTTACAAGAGACAATTCGACACAGCGGTGTCAACTATTTAATCAATGTTACATTTTTACATTTAATCGTATAGGTTTTTGAAGGGACAACGTACGCCTCACAGCTGTTAATCTATATTGGTCCACTAACAGCCGGTGTTTCTGATGTTGAAATTCCACATTCATACGACAGGATAGCACTCATCCATGAAGGCCAAGAGCATATTCTGTGCTATACACCAGCACAGGAGTGATTTGAGGAACATCTCGTCGGGCTTTCTCGATGCTTCCTCTCGTGGTGGTGTGAGCAGGCAGTTGCAGGGCTGCACCTTTACCTCTGCGACATTCACCAACAGCTTAGACGTAATTTTCCACAGCAGTCAATTAAAAACAAAACATCAGTGATTTAAAGCTTTCGTGACTGCAGAAATTCATCTTCTTGGTTCTTTCGGTAAAGTCACGTAGAAGGGAAATAATAAAATAAATAAAATAAAACATTATAAAATAATTCTCACGACGTTTCGGCCACAACGCAAGCAGCCGTCCACAGGTGAAGACCAGGTCTGTCATTCAGACGCTGTCTCCCCGACAGACCTGGTCTTCACCTGAGGACGGCTGCTTGCGTTGTGGCCGAAACGTCGTGAGAATTATTTAATTATGTTTTATTTTTATTATTTTATTATTATTTCCCTTCTACTTGACTTTACCGAAAGAACCAAGAATAGAAAATAAATCAGTGCTTTAATTATAAAGCGTGTATTTAATCGTACACGTTTTAACGTTAATATCTGAATTACGCGCGCGTTCCAGCTGTAAGGCCAAATTATCCACTAACAGCCAGTGGCAACTCCACGTTCCTATGGCACAATAGCATTTTACAGTACAGTACACCCACTGGTGTAAGTCACTCGACGATAAAAACACAACGTAATATCTTCATTAGCCGCGGTGGTGCTATTTAAGCGGTGTTACACGACGGTTCTGGTGAGTTTTACCTCAGAAAGTACTGGCTTACAGGCTTGCGAGGCCCCCCGTTATAGCTACAGTGCGACAGGCCTGGGCCTACCACAGAACGCGTTCATTCAAACGGCGCCGATCGTCACGAAAGGTTTAAAACGCTGGCGGATGTCGCAACGCACCTGGTGTTCTCTCTTCGAAAATAGCCGACGGATTTCACAAAAAAAATACTGAAAGCGAAGGAAGAAGAAGGCAACGAACAAAACTCGTCTAAAAAATTCGTTGCGTTACGAAGTTTTAAAGCAGAGGTCTCTTCGATTGCAGCGAAGTAAACAGTCGTGACGTCACCGCCACGGCGGCTTCCCATTGGCTGAGGCCATTGCCGCCTCCATAAATTATGTAAATTAGTCTTTGGTTCTTTCAATAAAATCACGTAGAAGGGAAATAATAAAATAATAAAAATATTATATTTTTTTATTATTTCCCTTCTACGTGACTTTACCGAAAGAACCAAGAATATAAAGAAAAATATGTAAATTATCAGTGAGTTTTTCGCGGCCCCCAGAGCCACATCTACATTAATTATGTTAATTATCAACACGAGATGATACGGGAGTCCCCGTAGTCCGATGTTACTCTTGCATAAATTATGTTAATTAGGAGTGAAGTTTTGCCACCGCCCCCCCCCTATCGCCCGATGTCACGCTTTCATAAATTATGTTAATTAGAGGGTTACCAGAGGTTACATCTTCTCCTCATCATATCACAATACAGGGCACAACAAACTAATTATAACCAATGCATTATAACTAAACCCATACACGCCCCCCTTCTACACAAACGCATTACCACGGTGTTGCTGTGGATGGTTGGAAATTCCTCTCATAATGTCCAATTCAATAAAAGTATAAAATTCTGATCTGAGGGGCCGTCCATAAATGACGTCACGCAATTTTGGACGATTTTTGACCCCCACCTCGTCACACGGCGTCATAAAAAGTCAGACCCCCCTCAAATGACGTCACAAAGCTCTGCCCCCCCACCAAAAATACATTCTTCAAATCGCTTTAAACTGTTGTCATTGTAGTGCGTATTTAATGTGGCGCTGCACTCTGATGTTGTAGGAGAAAACATTTATGTAAAAGTCTATTTAATTAAGTAGAACGTGTTGTCTATATTAATTTAAAGTTGCGCATTTTGATGTGACGTCACATTTCTCACCCCCCCCCCCCACCCCCTCGTCACACATCGTCACAAATGTCTGACCCCCCTCCCCCCACCTAGGTGCGTGACGTCATTTATGGACGGCCCCTGATGCAGTCAAACTTTGCTGTTTATTGCTGGGCGCTTGGGCGTTTCGGACCTTTGACCGCTGTGCAGTGCAACGATTATTCAATTGTGTTTGTTTTGCTCATCGGCATTAGCATAGTAACTACATTATATCAGTGGCGTAGTAACTGCATCATTATCAGTGGCTTAGTGACTACATAAACACATTCCTGCGGACGGAGCTGGTAGGAACGTTGGGTTGCTCGGTCAATGGCCAGGGTCAACGGCGGCGTGGTGTATTCCGCAAATATGAGTAGGTTAAACATTGAGTTTTATACGGGCACCACGGGGTGACCAGCCCCTCCCCCCACCCAGCCCCATCCCTCCATCCAGCCCCACCCTCCCCACCCAGCCCCTCCCCACCCTCCCCTCTCCACCCAGCCCCACCCCTCCCATTTTTGGATGGACGACGGACGGACGAACACAATAATCCCCTATGGGGGGCTGGTGTAACCAGGAGGTTCCTACCAGTATTGTCAGTGGCGTAGTGACAACAATCGGGCTTACGCTGCAAGTTGGCCATTAGATGGCGGTACAGTACAGCAATGTATTCCTGAATATATCTGTGTGGAGTTCACGCAAAGCCAAACGTCCCAATGTAGCAGGAGCCTCTTGAAAAAACACGTCTCAAAACCCAGTGAACCTTTTCATTGCACGCTTTTATTTAACTCACTGTTGTTTCTTAATTTTAGAACTTTCGTGACTGCAGGAATTATTATTTGGTTCTTTCGGTTAAGTCACGTCTAAAGATAAATTAATAAATTAAATAATAGCATATTACGACGTTTCGATTGCAACACAAGCAATCATCATCAGGTATAATGAAATAGCGACATACAATCTAACCAGAAAACTATGGACAGACATATTAGTAGACAGATATCACCAAGATACATAGAGAGAGCAACACAGGTAACAGAGAGGGGTGATCGTCTCTGTGGGGTGGCCTTAAATAGACAGAGTGCGGAGGCAGAGGGAGGGGGTTAGAGAAAAAATTAGCATATCAATGAGTGGACAACAAACGTGATGCTGCAAGTGCGATTAATTTTAGTGTGTCCTTCTGATTTTCAGGCTTGCTTGCCGTGCCATCGCACTTGCAGCATCACGTTTGTTGTCCACTCATTGATATGCTAATTTTTTTCTCTAACCCCCTCCCTCTCTCTGCCTCCGCCCCCCTCTGTCTATTTAAGGCCACCCCACAGAGACGATCACCCCTCTCTGTTACCTGTGTTGCTCTCTCTATGTATCTTGGTGATATCTGTCTACTAATATGTCTGTCTATAGTTTTCTGGTTAGATTTTATCTCACTGTTGTTGTTGTCGTTGTTGTCGTTGTTGTATCCTCAAATATTGTAACTCAATGTGGTATCGACTGCAAGCTTGGTATACTTATGTCATACTGATGACAATACTATATTCTATCATAAAAAATAAAAAAGATGTATTTTTTTACCATATTTTTTTATGTTATGTTTCGGCTTGGGTCTAATTGTCCACGCTCAACTCAAGTTGGCTGTAATTGGCCACGGTGCCTTACGTTACGGCAAGCTTCGGGGCCACTTCCTAGAGTCGTGGAGTTCTTCCATTACTAGTACGGTACATTTCATAAAAGCATGTGTTTTAGAAAGTTGTTTTAAATATTACGTATTTCTGAGTGAGTCTTATAAACCCAGTAGGTGTACGTGTGACCAGATTTGTTTTTATCCGGTCCCTTTCTTGAAACGGTGCGCAGTTTTGGGGTGCGTCTGATGATTATCAGACGCAACGTAAAGCAAGATCATTATAATAATCTTCATCATTTCGAAAGATGGCAAAATTTGGTGATTGGGAATGGGGCCACAATTGAGTCAAAGTTCTTGGCAGCGTTCGCATCAGCCTCCACCAGATGGCAGGCGTTAGTCACCAAGCCTAGCCGATGTTTTTTTGGCACAACAATTGCAACGCTATCCACGTTTCACACACATGTAACGGCAGGGATTGATTTTAACCGGAGTTGTCCGTGGCGGAGCTACGTAAATGAAATCCGAGGGTCTTTTTAACGTGTAACATTCACAATTCTCTGGAGAGAAAACAGACAAATTTACAAAGTTAAATCCACGTGATTATTTAAATGAGGTACGAAAATAAATAAATAAAACCCGCACTCCAGTATTTCGTTGTACTGAATTTCACTCGTCAAATTAAATATCAAACAGCCACTGCACGCAGACATTTGGTCAACATATTTACGGAATAGGCTTGTGACCAAGTCACCCTTGGGGGCTTCTCTCGCGTGCCCCTTCGGCCGTTGTGAGTGTGCACACAAGTGACGTCACGTCGGTGAATAATGTTTCAGCAGAATGCTGTGGAAAATACAGAACACACACACACACAAACGACCCCGGTAGCGGGGTAAATAAGACGCTTGCATTATCGCATGCAATTGCCGATGAAATACTGCTCAACACGATGTCAAGGAAGCCTTTTGTTGACCGTTTTCAATGCGTGCCTGTATTATTTGGAACCCAAAGAGCAAAAAATTCCCCGACATCTACGTATGGGGGCAAGTGTTGTTAGCGAGCACCTGTTAAGGTCAGAACGGATCACGAAGGGGTGGTGGTAGTGTGAATCAGAATCTTTATTGATACTGGAGGAATTGGATGAGTTATAGTTATTTTTTTACAGATGTGCCCAGCCGCATTACACGCCACGCAAGGTGACTCATTTAAGGCTGAGTCGACTCAGAATTAGCCAGTTCAAGATATCACTCGCCAACGCTGTCTAACAATGGCTGGGAATCGAACTCGTTTCGCTGGGTTCGTAGCACAAGGCAGCGTCATTGTTCCATTCATTTGCGCACGCACGCTCCATGCTGGGCTTGTGGCGAGAGTGAATATTCCTAATACAGGATGCGTAGCCAGAAGCGGCCATGGCCGATGGTCAAGATCAATAACGGATTGGCAGTCGACAGGGATGGAACGGGATCTGGAGCTCGTCCAGCGAGAGGAGAGATGGAGCGTTGAAATGAGTCCGCGTGCAGGCGCGTCGGTGCGATTGTTGCAATGGCACGGTCGTGAGTGGGCAGACGAGTTCGAATGGGCTTCATCCAGCAGTGGATTGGCAATGGCCGATGATAGGAGTGTAAAGGAAATGTCGTCGTTACCGTGTTGTCCTGGAGAGTAAGATCACGTACGGTTAGTTAAATTATATTAAAACTATTCTTGGTTCTTTTGGTAAAGTCGCGTAGAAAAAAAAATTTAAAGAACCAAGAATATGAATCCCTGCAGTCACGAAAGCTTTAAATCTAAATTTATATTAATACTCTGTAAGCGCGAGTAAATCGTCATATGCGGGTTGAGAAGCGGGACACGCTACAACATTTATTTTAAAAAAATTGCAACTCTTTTTCGTAAATTAATTGCTAAAGTCCTCCCAATTCCGTGTGCGTTATTTGACCATACTTCACCACGCTGGTCGATACGGGTTAGTGAAGGGAAGGGTGGGGGGGGATAACTATGAACTCGGTTAACTAATTTCGATTCCAGGCCACGGCGAACATCCGTGGCTAGTTATACTACAACGACCCGGACTGGCTATAGTAGCAGTAACGTGTGGTACAATAATCCTCGCAACTGACTCAACGTGGGGGAGACCTTCATCCAGCAGTAGATTAACTAAAACATCCGTAGGTATATTCATATATATATTTAAGTGCATAATAAAAAATGGTTAATCCTGCATATGTAAGTTTTAAAGTAATGATATACTATTCAGCTTGGAGACACAAGTGCCTGGAACCGGTATATTCACACGTGAGCCGAAGGGGCTCCTATGGTGGCAACAGTTGTATCCTTTCACTCCGTAGATTGGATGTTGATAAATGAGGGGTGGCGCAGTGGTTAGCGCGCTGCTCTACGAATTCGGCAAAACTGAGTTCGAATCCCAGCCACGGCGAACCTCAGTGGCAAGTGATATCCGAACCAGGCTTCTCTGTTCATCACCAACCGGCGCTGACGAGAGTGGTTATTTATTTTTTGTAAATAAAAAAATCCACAAAATGGGAACTTTATAAACCGACACCTAAAACGGCCAGTGGCGGCCTTCATCCAGCGGTGGATTAAACAAAGGGCTGAACATATGGTCTTGTCAATAGGTCTCTGCACTGGCTGACGGAAGCTGGAGTGGCTTTGTAAATACTTCACCACGGTCTCTGGGGGACTCTGAGATACATAATATGGGCGAGGTGTTATTAAAACATAACTTTTTTTCAATGTATTTTAAGCACCGCAATTGACACCGAATTGTCGAGAAGAAATAAATCCTACTTACAAACCTAAGCCAATGATGGAAATTCATCCTTCCTACGTTGAGTCCATCCACAGCTAAAGCGCTGTCGGCTTCATTGTATCCCACCCCGCAACGATAAAGTACTGAGTCGAGTAACCTCCCATTTGCGAGCACTAATAATTATCAATCATTATTGTCATCCGACCAACTTCACAGACGCAATGTATATATTCGTCGACTGATGAATTCGTGGTGTCTGTATTTGTATGTGTGCGTGTGCCTGTATGTATATCAAACCGGTCCAAGATTGCACCCATAACCCCCCACCCCCCCAACAGTGTACATATCACCTTTATTTAATTTGGAATGGCGCCACATTGCGGATGTTTTTTTTCGTCTTCTTCATGCAAAAAAAGGATTCAGTTCCTTAGCCGCTTAGCCCCGAAGGTAGCGAGTGGTAAAACTTCGTCGGCCAGAAAAAAAAAAATCTGACGAAGATAAGTGGCAATTCTTGGCATTTATTCATTCTCGTCGCAGATCGTCTGTACGCTATACATGCCCTGCGGTGCACACGCCCGTACAACATTGACTGCGGTGCAGCCGTGCGCGCATCAAAGTAAAAGCCGGTGTCTATCTCCGCGAGCGCACCACGTGTGCGTGACTTGGAGTAGCCTTGCACGGGGAGGGGACTCGGAGCGATGGGATAGCTGGATACCCAAGGGAGAGTTACTCTAACCAAGCGCGAATACTCGGGCCGTGCTGCGCGCTTTGATCGGGCGAGTGTGAAGCTACGAGATAAAATACCCGAAGGCTACCATCATCGATGCTCACAACGAGTCTCATCGAAGCTGTGTCCGTCTCCTGCCTGCGCGTGGAATTCATGACGCCTCGCATTCATGAAATGCATACAGATGAAGAGGGAAGAGCGGCGATTTTTCCGTCAATTATAAAAACACCACCGTGCTTTCCCTCTCTCTCTCTCCCTCTTTTCTTTTTCTCTTCTGTCTTCGCGTCTTCCCTTCTTCATTAATTTTCCTCCTTTACACGACTGGCTGCATCGTGGACCGGATTGACATTTCGTAGAGAACTTCTTGCATGGAAGAGAAGGCGAGGCCCGGGGATTAGACTGCCCTTGGTTATTATTAACAAGTGCTTCTAAACAACAACAGCAGCATCCACAACAGCAGCAGTAGCAGCAGCGGCAAGCGGCCGCGCACTTCGCTGTACATTCGTATAGACCTCTCCACACAGACGTTCATCATCATGTGCTTGCGGATGTTACATTGGATGCTACACATTCTGCCTTGCATTGGAGTCATCTACCTAAGCATTGGGTGAGTTGTGTTTTTTTTGTTGTATCGCAAATACAGAAATGTGCACACAGTTGACGCGATGGACGAACTAGGGACACTGCTTACGAATCGCATACATTTGTGGATGTTAGTACTGTAGTGCACCGCATTCATATATATATAACGCCATGCTCAACCCACTGCTGGATGAAGGCCTCCAAAAGCCGACTTGCCACCGCCCACGATAAGATAACTCTAGAAAAACACACGGGGTGCACAGTTCGGGCATCACAACCATATGAATGAACGTATCCATGTACAATCGTTGACTATGCGTGCGTAGCTCGCACATGTACCGTGATCGTCGTGGTGTACGTCTCTCCGCGTGTGTTGATGGTAGAACGAGGAACGTTTTATAATACAAAAACGTGCCACGACTTGGTCACGATCAAATCAAGTTAGGATCAAATGTGTCGTGTACGTGCGTAACATAAGCGTAGCTTGCATGTAACACGCGCTATATTATTTTTTATAACGAGGAGAGCTAAAGTCGAACTGTTGAAGCGCACAAAGAAGGGCTCCAGATCTGATAAGCAAGCAAATAGTGCGCGCGCTGAAAAGTTTAGTTTAAAAAAAAAACACATATACAGTGGCTTATAATAACAGCCTTCGCGCAAGGCATTTAACAAGGTTGACTGGCTCGATCCCAAAATCTTTGCCGCTTTCATTATCAATCTTCGTAGAGAAGCCACGAGTCATTGCAATTACGAGTCATTGCAAATTGTAAATGACTCGTCATTGTTAACGACTCGTTATTGCTCCAATGAAACGCACCTGTAAAAACTCGCGTCTGTCTTCAGCCGCCTTCTGTGAAGTTATCGCGACGCAACTCGATTGATAGGACCCATTGGCGCTCGCCGGCGAAGTGGAGAGCGATGGGCAAATGTGTGTAAGAATCAATCGTCGTGATCACCACCACCACCACCATCTTCTTTATTATCGAAAGCTTTGAATAATTTGCGTTCGGAATGGGATTAACCGGATGCTCTGCATTTCGAGTAGATGCGTAATTTGTATTTGTATGTGATTCGTCTGTATCGATTTTGCATCATGTCAGGTTTCACTGCGAATATTTGTGCGATTAAGGATATAAACATATCCCGTACAGTTAGAAATCTGCGCAGAGATAAAAAAAAAACGCTCTATATATTTTCACGTGTAATTGTTTTGTCATTAATTGGTAGATTAGCCGCAGCGTGTTCGTACCATCTGTTAATCATACAATCTGGTAATCCACTGCTGATGAGACCCCGAAAATCGAATCCGGTCCAGAGTTTGCTTGCTTAAAATGCAGGCTGCTTGATAATATATCTGTCTTTAAGAGCCAATCAACTGATGGACTTAAAACACATTTTTATTTTTACGTGGAGAGACACAGCGGAGTTCTGCTTATATTTCCCTTTGAAATCGAACAGCTTTTAAAATATTACATGCACATATAAAACAATAACTGGCATAATCATTTTACATTTTTCAACTATATACTTATTTTTTGTTACATCGACAAGAGTTATCAAAGTGAGACGCGTTCCTAGAACTTCTGCATTTGTTCGTATGGCAGCGCATCCACAGACTACTGTGCACACGATAGGCTGTTTACATCAAACACATAAAACTAGTTAAACTAGATCGCTCATAAATATGCCCGCAAAGCCAGTGCTCAGAAACTCTCGTAAGCTACCCCCTCACCCGCCGAACTCGCACTACCACCCATCGCTTACGATACGTGCGAACACGACCCACCGTGAGTTATAGGAATAACGATTAGCAAAGCTACACACACGCACGCGGGATCGTTCGAAATTGGTGTTGGGCACATTGACTTGTTAGCTTCTACGAGAATATATGTGTGTGTGTCTAGCGGAGCAGTAGTGTAGCAGTTGGTGCGTTTCGCTTCCGAAGTGCCACTCCCCGCTCACGGCCAACACCAGTGACGATTGTCTGAACCGGTCCTGGGCCTCCCATAGGTCGACTCAGCCTTTATTGAGTACCGAGTGCGATGTATAAAAAAAACAAAAACATTGCCACTCGGGAGAAAAGGCGGTCGGGCGTGGTACTGGCCACCCACACCCCCGAATGTGCCTTGCCGGCCTTCATATGTACTTCTCGCTAACAGCACTTGCCTCAACAGTCGAATAAGGCTATACGGGGGATCTTTGTCTTTGTGTGTATCGAGTCGAGGTCTATTCACACGACACTTGACACGCACACCATCAGATAAAGTCGCGCAGCAAGTTGCCCGTATGCTCAACGCGCCGCAACATCTTCCGAGACGACCTTGGCGAGGTTGCAAAGGGCTCCGGAATTATTGAATGACAACTTCTTGATAAACACACATTACGTCTCGTTGATATGAGCGCGCTACGCATGGATTGAAGCCTCCCCCCCCCCCCCTAATACAAGGCGGGTAAGAGAGGTGCCTAGAGGTGTCTCAGGCCTGTAGGGTGATTTCATCAAACCACGGAGTCCTCGAAACCAACACGCATCTCGTCGCGTTCACGCGCCGCGCGCGCCTGATGATTGGTAGTACGTAGGACACGCACACACACGGGTACGCACACCGGCATACGCGCATATACCCAAACGAACTGATCGCTATCTTCACTTGAGGCTGTGCTCTCCGCGGAGCGAGGCTTTTGTTTGGCAATCATACGATCGCGCGCGGTGCGTTGTGCGCGGCTGACGACTTAATTCGTGTTTGGAACGGGGGAAGGCGGCACGCGCAGTGTCGTCGGATCGCGGCGGACGGAGAGAACTGGAGTTTGTGGGGAAACCCGCGGTTTGTAGAGAATCCCTGACCCAATTATCCGCGGAATATTTTTAAATCCTTTATATTAAGTTCACTTGCTTGCTTGCTTGCGCGCTTCCGACCGTGCAAATCTTTCGGTCGTTTTTTTAACCCACTTCCCGTGATCCAATCGAGCTGACATTTTGCACACAGACTCGTTGTGCGTGACAATTTATTTTTTCCAAAATTTTCCACTTTTTAGGAAAATGTTTTTTTTAATATTTCATTTAAAATACCAATGTGATAAAAATGAAACTCTTACTCAAGAAAAACAGAAATGAATAATAAAATAAAACCGATGCCACTCATATAAAGGATTTATAGTGAAAAACGTTGATTTTACGGGTTAATTTTTTTTTATTATCAACGACGTTTTTTTTTTCTGCGTATAAGTTCGAGTAAAATCTCGCCGACAATAGGGTCCGCTATAATCGTCCACCGGCATCATCACGGAGTTCACATGAATGCGAATCTGAGTGTGTGTCTGCGCGCGTGTGTGTATGGTACGCGTGTGTAAACATCGCCACTGGGGAGACAAAGGCGGTCGGGCGTGGTGCTGGCCACCCACCCCCTCGTGTACCGTTCTGGCCTTCATAGGTGCTCGCTAACAGCACTTGCCCCTACAGTCTGTTAAGGCTATACGGGGGATCTTTATCTTTATGGTACGCGTACAGCTACGAGCCCCGGTGACCCGAGTTCAATCCCCCGCTCAATTCCCCGCTCACGGCCAGCGCCGGTGACGATTATCTAAACCGGTTCTGGGCCTCCCCTAGGTCGACTCGGCCTCAAATGAGCACCTGGTGCGATGCGTAAACATCGCCACTGGGGAAACAAAAGCGGTCTGAGCGTGGTGTTAGCCACCCAGCTCCATCGTGTGCCGTGACGGCCTTCATAGGTGCTACTCGCTAACAGAACTTGCCCCAACAGTCCGTTAAGGCTACACGGGGGGACCTTTATCTTTGGTATGTATATATGCACGTGTGTGTGCAAGTATTCGTTTCACAAATGTTTGGGGAGTGTGTTGAAAGCACGCCCGGTGCGGTATGGCCCTGGTACACATGTCTCGTATACACATCCGTTGCCTGGGGCGCACACACACACACACGGTCTATCTCTCAGCCGCATTCCCTTTAAAGTTGCGTAATTTAAAACGCTATTTAAGAAAAAAAAATCTTGGGTGGAAAAAAAGATGATGAATCGCCTCCCTGCCAACTCTCAACGTATAATTATATTTGTATCTTTAGCTGCGGGTGTGCGTGTGTGTGTATTTTTGTGAACATTCAATGCAGTGTATACGTACTTGCCTCTTTGCTTTCACCGTAAAACGATCACGTGCGGTTATATTGTTCACAAAGTGGGATAAATATATGGCAGACGAGTGTTCGATTTGGAGGAATAATCAATGTTGAATTAATCGTCCAAATTAGATCGATTTCTTTTAGAATTAGGTTATATTTTAACGGTAATCTTGCATGAAAAACACACATATATATAAAAGAACACGGCTTTTTTTTTTACCTAATAGCATTCATTGGTTCATCAATATAAACAACTTTGGAGTTAACGTTATAAAATAACGGTTACAATTTATACACCGATAATTCCACAGTGCATGCGTTGAGATAAAAGCATTGTCAATTATTGGCTTTGGACCTAATGCAATAAATTGAAACGTTACAGGCAAAACGTTGGGCTGTCACGGCTGGACACTGCGATTGCTTTGAAGTCATCCTGCATGTCATACATATCGGTGATATAATCGAATTATAACCCAATTGATAGTCCGTGTATGATACGCTGATTGATTGCGTATCGATTGGAATATGTAACCTGCAGGGTAATCCCTTGAGATGGAACATTGTGTTCATCGATGTGTTCAAGCGTGTCTGTAAATGTGTTTTTGTTGTTGTTATATGTATTTATACGTTGTCGAATTATCAAGAAATAATTATCACAGGCTTGTACAGAGTAATCTAAAATCATTTGGGCTGCTACCGTGTATTGTATTCCACCACGGAATACAATACAACCAGTCAGGTTGACACCATGCATGTTCAAACGAGCAAATTGTTATACAACAAAGTATTTTTCCTAACCTCTTCTTGGTTCTTTCGGTAAAATCACGTAGAATGGAAATAATAAAATAAAACATAATAAGATCATTCTCACGACGTTTCGGCCATAACGCAAGCAG